ACCTTGTGCTGGGTGTGACTCCAGTGGAGCCAATGTATGTTTTTAGGTCTCAGTCCACTTGTCCCACCTGGTATCCACCTCTTAAAGAGCACAGTGGCGCTACAAGTTGCTGTTAAAAGGGTCTGTCTAGCATTGTAGAACCGAGTTGGGTCTCGGCTGCAATGTACCTCCATGCTTCTCACTTTGGACTAATAGCATCTTCTTGTGAAGAGATTAGCCAGAGGTGCAGGGTGGGGTTTAATGGGGGTAGGGCAGTATGTGTGTGTGAACTGATTAACCTGCGGTGTGTGTTTTTAGGGTTGTGTATAAGAAGTCATGGGGTGATGTTTTGGGGGAAGGGCCAGACTGTGGGGTATTCTACAGTTGGATGGGAAACAGGAAGTGATTGAGGAAAGAAATAACAGACCTAAAGACCAACAAAGCAAAACAGTCAACATTCACATCACTCTTGATTAAAAAGCTTGTTTTTTTTTTGCCTACATGCAAAAAGCCTTCTTAAAGATGCTGTTAGCATAAACGCTAAGCATTTATTTAAATCCGTTTGAACACAGGGAGATCGTAATATATCACGCTTGCTCAGTTTGATAATGACTGCAATGATTTATGCATCTCATATACGCTCTCAGTTTGTTGGAATTTTTTGGTTGTTTTTATGGAGTATATTTGCTAGATTGTACATTTATTTTAGTTTTGCTAAACCTACTTAGCAGAATAATATAGAAGGCTTGTTGGGCCAGCTTTCTTCGTACCATAAGTGTAGTTTCAAAAATACGAGTTTGAAAAAAAAGAGGGATTTTAGCTTCTAATGTTCAAATCAAACTAGCAGCGATGTTTTAGCTTAGCTTCTTTTAAAAGCCAAAAAGCGAGATATAGATGGGTTGATGTCCAGTTTATTCAAACATATGTATTAATAGTTGAGTGTTAGTGGTTTTTTCCAAATGTGTTTTTCTCCTATTACACATAAGGCCAAAAACAATTTTAGAAGCCAATATCAAGCCATCGTAGCTGTATTTGTTGCTGCTTCTAGTCTGATATAAGCTTAGCAACTGCGGGTTTTATCTTCTTATTTATGTCTTTATAATAAGGCATGTTCAATTATATCGATGTTCATCATCCAGTCAAAAATCAACCAGTCTACCCAAAAATTAGCTAATGAATAAATTCTTTATATTTCCAGGGAATGACGTATATCACTTAAGAAAAATCTGGAGATTTCTGTATATAAAAAAATGATTGTATTTTGAATCAACACTAAACATCACCAAACTTCAGATATGACCAAACGTAATTTTTTATTATTCTAAAATCTTTTCATTAATTATTTTATTAAAAAAAAAAGGTTAAATGCCTAAAAAAGATTAACAACAAAATCATCTAAATACTAATTACAACTGGTGATGTAAACTGGGGAATAAACGTTCCAGATATTATCTAAAATGAATTAAGATCCAATATTTATCAAGAGTTTATTAGTCTCTCAGGAGTCTAAAGAAAAGTGTTTTATGGGCTAGTCCTGAGTTTTAATACCTACCTTAATCTGAGAGGGGAAATGAAAAATGACATGATTTACATTCAGAACCAGCCTTGGTTTATCACCTTACAGCACAAAAATCATCACAATAGAATGGAAACGATTTCTTTACTTGGGTCCGATATGGGCTGTTATGTCACCTCTTGCATAAACCCAATTTAGATGTGTTGATGTGTGATTCCTGAACTCCCGTCTCTTGACCTAGAAGATGGATTAGGTTACTTGGAGACTCGAAGGTTGTCCGTTATGTTACAAGCTCTGGTTGTGTAAAGTTTCCTCACTTTGGATCAAGACAAACTGAATTTCTGATCTTAAAGTTAAAAGCTTCGCTTGATAAGTTTACTAAGTAAAGCAGACAGAGCCTCCATTATGTGTTTGGAGGAGAAAAAAATGACAAAGTCCTGCAGGAACATCATGCAGAAATTGATTAATGTTGTGTAATTTTCTGAAAGGGTGATCAGGCCTCTCTCTGCCTCGGTTATGCAAACCTTCTTGATCGAGGTTCGATCTGAGTCCAAACCCAGCTCTCCAGATGCCTGTACCTCCAGGGGAGGAAATGTCATGACGTACTAGGCAACCAATCAGAAGGGAACATGGGGTTAACATTAGATGACTAAGGGTCACATTAAACAGCTAATAAAAGGTTCTTCTAAAACTCGTTATTTAGACTGAGAAAAATGTCAGGAATCAAATAATGTAGCCATGCTGATCATGATGATTGTTTTTATTTATGAAGTTTCAAACATATATTCCTTAAATAAAAGGCAGCATTCACATTCAAGGTTTGGGTTTGACACCAGCACAGAGTAATATTTCAAGTTAAATTAAGGCTGTTTTAAAGGATTAGGAAGGTCCTGGGTTCAATTCCCGGCCGGGGGTCTTTCTGCATGGAGTTTGCATATTCTCTCTGTGTATGTGTGGATTCTCTCCGGGTACTCCGGCTTCCTCCCACAGTCCAAAGACCAGCTTGTTAGGTTAATTGGTCTCTCTAAATTGCCCTTAGGTGTGTGAATAAGTGTGTGCATGGTTGTGTGTGTGTGCCTGTAGACTGCTGGAGAAAAGCACCAGCATCCCCATGACCCACTACGGAATAAGCGGTATAGAAGATGAATGAATGTTTTAAAGCTTTTTGTCTTATTTTTTTACAGCATAACAGGCAAGGTTATATATTGTTCATATTCTGAGACATTAGGACTACCCTTGCATGCAGTAAGAGGTCATTTTGACCATACTTATAGTCATCTCCAGGAACCCGGAGAAAAGCAGGTAAAACTGCTGCTGTGTGTAAATAATATATTAAATATATTTATCTGCTTTTGTCTCTTTACATCGGGATTAAAACTAACACAGCATTTCAGAAAAAGAACATTATACCGACAGTCTAACATGGCGGTGGTAGTCTGATGTTCAGCGCTATTTTAAATTCTCAGGACCTGAAAAACTTGCTGTTCTTGGTGAAACCATGAATTTCACTTGCTACTAGAAAATCCTAAAGGAGAATGTCCAGCCATCAGACTACCTCTGAATGGCTAAAAAACAACAATAATAAATGAAGGTTTTGGAGTGGTCTAGTTAAAGTACAAACTTAAGTATGACTGAGATGCTGAGGGAAGACCTTTAACAGGGCGTTTATGCTTGAAAGCTGTCAGTGCTGGCTGAAATAAAACAATCCTGCATAGAAGAGTCAGAGACCTTTATAGGAAGAGACTCCAAGACAAAGATTTTGGACTGTAAAGTTGGTGTTGGTAAAGAACCATCTTTCCAAGTCAGGATTTCTCCGTTACAGGGTTTTTTTAAACCAATTTTCTGACTTTTAACCTCAACTTTCTTGGTTCATATATAATTGACATTAGTTCTCCTGTCTCACTTGTATGAAAGCCACAAGTGTTGAACTTGGTTCTTTCTTTAGCGCCATAGGAAATGTTTTAGGATTATTTGTTGTTGCTGAGGCCCCCCCAGCCGTAACAATGGGGGATGTCTCTTGGATTATGTTCATTCAGCCTCAAAGCATGTTCTGACCGAACTTCAACTTGTTATTCTGGCCACATGCAGTGGGACTCCTTTAGATTTTCGGGTTTTTAAAAAGCGAGGATGACCAAAAATGACTTTGAATATGGGAACCAGCCTAGGTTTGTGGGCAATAGAAAGATGCTTTTTCTTTCAACAAACTTTTTAAGTACCAAAGAACATGTTCCAAAACAGTCTAAAAGGTTTAAAAACTGCTGCTCAACATTTAAGTTGTGTAATTTCTTCCTTTATGTTACAAGCAAGATTCATTTTAAGCAGACAAAAATGATAAATGGAAAAAGAAAAAAAATTTCTAAGAAAAGAGAGGAACTATGGACTGTCCCTGACCAGAAATCTGGTTGGTAGTGTGTGTTAATGTGTGTGTGTTTGTGTGCCTGTGTTGCCGGTTCCCACGCTTCAGGCAGTTCTGGTGAAACTGGCAACTGGACCACAGCTGCTGTCTGTCTCTCTCTGCCTGTTTGCAGCTGCTCTGTGGTTAATGGGATAAACACCACCAACCAAAAACACACGTGTGGAACATGGATCCTGACCTCTTTCCACATTATGCTCCAGGACAGGACTTTGACTGGGCCATTCTAACACATGTTGATCAGAAGCCTTCCAGTCTTCTGCTGCCCCTAACAGGTGTTTTTTCATGATTGTGCTGTGTTTATCTCTTCCTATCAACACTTACTAGCTTCACTGTCCTGTCTCAGGAAAACCAGCATGATGCTGCCACCACCATGTTTCATCACGGGGGTGGTATTTTCAGGGTGATGTGCAGGTGTTGTTTTTTGCCCCACATAGCTCTTTGCATGTTGGCCAAAAAGTTTGGGTTTTGGTCTCATCTGACCAGTGCACCTCCTGCTTTGCCTGCTATATGGCTTGTGACAAACGTTAAACAGGACTTCCTTCTTATTTTAGGGCTCTTGGCTGTTTCTTTGAATAATGCTCTCCTTGCCCATTTTGTCAGTTTAGGAGGATGGCCATGTACTGTTAAGTTTTTTGTTTTTTCATACCGTTTCCAGTTTTGCTTGGGATATTGTTTTAAGCTTACTCTCCCTAAAGCTACTTTACAAATGTATCTCTGACCTGTCTGCTCTCTTCCTCGGCCTCCATGATGCTGTTTGTTCACTAATGTCCTCTAACAAACCTCCGAGGCCTTCACAGAACTTCTGGATTTAAAGTTATATTAATTTACACATAAGTGGACTCAATTTAGTAATCAAGTGACTTCTGAAGGCATTGCTTGGAGAGGATTTTATTTAGGAGTATTAGGATAAAGGGGACTGGAAACATAGCCATGCTGCGCTTTTCATATTTTTTGTTGTAAAACATGTTAATATCAGTGTAACATTTTTCTTTAGCTTCACAATCATGTCCTACTTTGTTTTTATCTGCCACATAAAATACATTGATGTTTGTGGTTATAATGTCAATGAAAAAGAGGTGTGAAGGGCGCGGCGCTGGTGGTGTAGGGGTTGAGCGCGCGACCGTGTGCGGAGGCTGCTGTCCTCGAGGCGGCCGTCCCGGGTTCGAGTCCCGGGCCAGGCGACATTTGCCGAATGTCTCCCCCTCTCTCTGGCCCTCTTTCCTGTCTGCCTACTGTCAAAAAATTAAAAAAGATAAAGGCCACTAGTGCTGAAAAAATATCTAAAAAAAGAGGTGTGAATACTATTGCAATGCACTGTAACTGAATTAATGATAGCTTGTCAGAGTGGGCCCAATGTAAAAAATAAGGGGGCCTGTGCAGTCATGTTACATTAAGCCTTATTGTAAATAAACTGTGATTAACACAGAGATCTTAGGTTGATTAAATGAAAGACTGTGACGACATGTGGTTTATTACATGTAATGTGAAACACTTGAAACATATGTTGCAGAACCGAACATACCAGAGAAAACCAAGCAGAAAAATGGTGTGATTCAAATCTAAAGCAGACATTTGAATTTGAAAAACAGAATACAACCCCTGAAACTTAAATCTTCGACAATCTCTGAAAAGAAAAACAGCAGCAAAAGGTCTGCAGTAATCACTGTCTGTGTTTGTTCCTGGTCAGCATGACTAGTGTAAGCACTCTGCCTCTAAAATAAGACAGAGGTGTGAGGGAATGCCTGCAGGGAGGTTGAGTACTGAGCGATAATCTCTGAAAGTCTTTCATCTCTGTTGGCCGCAATTTGTTTTCTTCCAGCTGCGAGTCTATAAAGAACACCAAGACGTCTTGGCCAAGGCAGAGAAACAGCACATGCCTTTGGCAAATAGCCAAACAGATTGAGGTGGGATTGGGGGGAAGATATGACCAAATGGGCCTTCCCCAATATACTGTTCTAGGTGAAGAGAACCAAAGAATGCAGCGTTAGTCATCCCTAAAACATTAGTTATTGTAACACCATTAACACAAAAGAAGTAGATTTCTAATAAAATCATTGTATTTAGTGTGGAAGAGTGAGGCAGTGATACTTAGTTAAACAATTAAACACAAAACTCACATCTGTCTCTCCTCCCAGTCTTCACAGGGGGACTTATTTGCTCGCAGTGCACAAAATGTCTTCATCAAAAATCCCAAACCCAGCCATAAACTAGAAATGTGTGTGTTCTACCTGTGGAAAGATTTAATACTGAGGTTTATTTACTATAAATTATACTGTAAAGCTATCCTTACTACTGTAAGGCCTCTGACCACCCTCCAGTATATGTAGCACTGACTAATTTGCATATTGTCTTGGACTCTAATTCTTGAGTAAACGTAGGTAGCAGGAATTACTAATCTGGGAGAGAGTAAAGTGCAAAGTTGTTGATCACCTACCCTCATTGTTGTTTTAACATTGACTTAGTGCTATGTTGAACTTAGTGCTTATACAGGTTACCAGTCCATCACAGGGCAGCACAGGTACACACAGGACCAACAATTTTGACGCACTTACTTCTAAGGGCATTTAAGACTATTTAACATAACCCAAATGTTTTCGGAGTGTGGGAGAAAAACTGGAGTACTAGGAAAGAGCCCACACAAGCACAGGGAGAAAATGCAAACTCCACATAGAAAGAAGCCATGCTGATTAGAACTAAGAACATTCATGCTTAAGGCAAATGTGCTAAAACTGCCCCACCATGTAGCCCCCACTATGAACCTCAAATAATGACTAGATAGTAAAAGGTTTTAGGCCAAGTCCAAGGCAGGTAGACAAGATAACGTGCATCTTTTGGCTTTCCCTTTAACTCCTCTGTCTTCCTGGTACAGGGGGTTAGAACTGGTGGGTCTGGACTTCTGCTCTGTATGACTATATGTGATAACCAGTGGCGTGCACAGACATTTTGGGGGGCAGGTGCTCAAGTGGCAAAAAATGGCACCTTGTGCGGCACATGGAGCTGTCGGTTGCCTTTGTAGTGTGAGATTTATTACAGGCACAATATGAACATAATTTATATGTATTACTAAGCACCCCCAAAACAAACTGTCCTGTGGGATGTAGGGAAATGACCACCCAGGAAAAAAACTCAAAACAAGAATGCATTTGACAAAATTCTTAAGATTAATAAGGCAACAAAATTATCATAGACTGATTTAAAGTTAGATTACTGATTCACAACCTGAACTTCCTGAGTCAAATTTGAAACTTACGTTATCCTTCATTTTTTTTCTTTTTACACACTGAGCACAACGTGTTTGTCTTGACTATATCATTTTGTATTTTTATCACAAAATATGTTCTGCACCAAATAACCTTATGTTGTAGCAAAGCAGGTTACACTGCCAAATTTACCAGGTAGGTCACACTAAATGAGTTATCTTCAGAAATGTGAGTAACCAGTGACCATTCTACAGTGTAAATCAACTATACCCAGAAAATAAGTTATAAAATCTTTATAGTCAAAATGAAACCAACATCAGAGAACATGATCATAAGAAGAATCATCTATACTTCTGCATGTAGCCAGTGTCTCCGTTGAGAGACACATGAAGCGGGACACGGATGTGTGTGGACGAGGGTGGGGGGGGATAGTTGTCGATCAAAATTTCCAAACGTGGGGCACTGGTATTGTAGGTCTTTAAATTCAGAAATTTTACCTTGGGCCCCACACTATACACTGTAAAAAAACAAAAAACAAAAAAGATTTCAGGAGGGCACTTTTTTGTCCATAGGATAAAAGGGCAGGTGCTCTAGCACCCCCTCGTGTCTATCTGTGCACGTTCCTGGTGATAACATGTGGTAAGAGAAAAATTCTCTACCCAAAAGAATGTAAAAAGTAGGAGATATGAACAAGTGTTTAAAAAGAAACAAAGGTTTGTTCTTGTCAGAAGATGTTGGCTTGGTACCCTGAACCTTGCAGATCTTCATTTCCCTCAAATTTACCCACCCCCCAAATCATTTTGCCAACCCTGTATAGTATCTTGAAGGTGGAACTAGAACTGGCTATTTTCTGCTGTCCTGTTCTACATGAACTTTCTACATGAGACAAAGCGGGTGGTGGTAGGAATGTTGTGCAGTTGTTCGTTCCTAGTCTGTTGTAGTGATGAGAGATGAGTAGAAAGACACAATAGATGAATATCTAGTATTTCTTTGTTTCAACATTCTCTAGGGGGTTTAAACATATTTCTTTTATTATCAAAAGAATGATGCTCTAAATAAAAGTAATCACACTGAAATTTCTCTGTAATTGGATTGGCCTCACTCTTGTGAATACAGAAGAATCCTATCATCCTGTAACACTGAGTAAAACTTGTATTTCTCCCCTGATGTTATCCTTGAGTATGATCTGGATGTCCTCTGGCCATGACCATGTTCCATGAGGAGAAGGTCTTGGGCCAAACCCAGGGCAAACAGCAGCAGAGGCATCACAGGAAGAGGCTTATCTTTACATCATACCATGAAACTTTTTTTGTGCCAGAGGTATTTGGCTCTTCTGTGTAATTGAATTTTCAAACCCTTTTGAGCTTTGAGAGGTTCAGCTCTTCTGAGGTGGCTTTTTGCAAGGTCTAGGAGGGTGTTTCCGCGAATTTCTGACCATTGTTCTAGAGATCTATTTGTGAGGTCAGACACTGATGTTGGACGAGAAGGCCTAGCACATAGTCTCTCCTTTAACTTATTCCGAAGGTGTTCTTTAGGGTTAAGGTCAGGACTCTTTGAAAGCCATTCCACACCAAACTAACTCTAGGGGTGTGTCGGTCGTGAATGAAATGGATTGTTCACTTCAAAGTAACAACGGGAGCTGGCTCCTGAGTGGGAGCTGTTTTTTCCCCACTTCTCCCTTTCTTTCTCACTTTTTGCCCCTTCAGACTGCACGTGATTGGTCAATATCTGTGTCGTCGTCTCTGTCTGCACTAGCAGAGGGTTAGGGGGACACCAGTTAAACACATTGGCTGACTATTTGGCAATTAGTGTGGCTGGTGCTGCAACACCATTAGCGAGGCAGCTGTTGCAGTTAATCGGGCGTGTTCAATGTGTTCATTGTTAATATAATTGTGAACTGGTGATTGCATATTAATAAAATACTGGATTCACACAGAAAATGAGACTTTCTGTCTCTTGGCGTCCTGCTGTATTTTGGGCAATAAAATAATTCAAGCAACAAAAAGCTTAAGAGCCATTCGGGAGCCGAAAGAGCTCCCGAATGGTGTTTAAGTGAGCTGAGCCAACAGAACCTGTTCTCTAAAAGTAGCCGGAGTTCCTGTCCCTATCACTCTCCCATGTGTATACACACCTTGCTTTGTGCACTGGTGCACAGTCATGTTGAAACAATAAGGGGCCATTCCTAAAATCTTCCTTCAAAGTTTGGAGCATTAAATTGTCCAAAATTTGTTGATATTCTGAAGCATTGAGTTCCTTTCCCTGGAACTAATAGGAAGGGGCCTAACTCTTGGATAACAGACCCAAACCATAATCCCCTCCTCACTAAACTTTGCAGTTGACACAGTGTAGTTAGGGAAATATCTTTCTCCTAGCCACTGCCCAAACCCAGACTCGTCCATTGGATTGCCAGACAAAGAGGCATGAAAGAAAGAGGCAAAGACAAAGAGGCAGAAAACATGTCTCCACTGTTCTAGAGTCCAGTGGCAGCATGCTTTAAACGACTGCATTGGAAGCTTTGCATTGCACTTGGGGATGCAAAGCTTCTTGTAATGCTTCATTGCAACTGTTCGCCCATGAAAACCTTTTTCATTAGCATCTCTATGCTTTGTTCTGGAGGTAAGTAAGGCCACATTTAGTTTGTTGGTCTTTGGCTATTGATTTTCTGCACTATGTTTCTAAGCATCCGCTGACCTCTGTCTGTGATTATACAGTGCCTTGCGAAAGTACTCGGCCCCCTTGAACTGGTCAACCTCTTGCCACGTTTCAGGCTTCAAACATAAAGATATAAAATTCTAATTTTTTGTGAAGAATCAACAACAAGTGGGACACAATCAGGAAGTGGAATGAAATTTATTGGATGTGTCAAACGTTTTTAACAAATAAAAAAC